AGTTGTCAGTGCTGCATACTTTCATGGCCTTTTGCTACCAGTGACTCTCAATATAGGAACTGGTACTCACCGGCACTGGTGAGGACAAGGGCCTATGGCTCAGAGGAAGAGCATTTGAGCAGCACTCATGGGGATCTGGAAGGAGAGGAAAGGAAAGGCCTTTCTTTATCAAGCAGTAGATTAAGAAATGACGTCCTGTGAATTTATAATTTGCATTTGTAAGTAGCTTTTATTTTTTATATTTATTTTTATTTGAAACCATTTCAATTGATTCATTGATTGTTTTTTGAGCCCAATTTTCTCTGTGCAGCACTGGCTGTTCTGGAACTCACTCTGTAGATCAGGCTGACCTCCAACTAAGAGATCCTTCTACCTCTGCTTCCTGGGTGCTGGGATTAAAGATGTGCACCATTCTCCCTTGGCTGAAAACCATTTTCAACTATACATATATTTTGATCATATTCTTCCCCTCCCCCAAGTTTGTTCAGATCCTCTCCTTCCTGCCCACCCAAAATTAAGTTCTTTCTCAAAAACAAGCCAAAATACCAATACAAGTACAAATGCCAAAAACTTAGAACACAAAATACAACATCACCCAAAAAGGAAAAACAAAAACAAAACAAACTAAAAAAACACATTTTCCCCTCACTCCTTCCAGATCCACCCACGCCACCTCCCAACATTGTGTCTTTTAAAAAAATTATTTTTATGGACTGGAGATATGGCTCAGTGATTAGGAGTACTGTCTGCTCTTCCAGAGGAACTGGGTTCAATTCTCAGCACCTACATGATGCTGAGAATTGTCTATAACTCCAGTTCTAGGGGATCAGATGCCTCCTTTGCCTTCTGGTAGCATTGTATACACATGATGGACCTGGCTATGTGCAGGAAAACACCCATAAATAGATGATAAAAGTAAATACTAGAGATGAATTCCATAACAATAAATCTTTAAAGAAAGAAAAACTTAGTACTGTAAACACTGAATAAGGCATCTTCATGATGGTTCCTGAGGTTTCGGGGCAGGGAATATGACATGTTTGTCCCATTTGTGGAATCATGGTTGTCAATCTGAGACATAATTCAACTTTACCTTTCAATGGAGGCAGAGGGTTCAGCTAGAAGTTATTCTTCTGACAGAGGGTAAGACACCAAAATTTTGCTGGGCGTCTGTAAATATAACTGTGTCTCATCATCAGAGAAGGTGATGGTGGCTTTCAGTTTATGCAAAAGGTCTTGACCCAATCAATTCTCTGTTGAACACCTTTGAGCTAGCTGCAGCAACTGGGACCTACTTACACTTTAATTGTTTGTGTACCTCTTATTTCTTTTCTAATATCTGGGCCCAACTGGGTGACAAAGGGAATCATTTTAGCAGTTGTCTTTATAAATTACATATTGAAAATTGTTGAAAGTCTCCTTGGTCATGCCGGACAGAGAAGAAAATCCATTCTGTACAGGCTGTGTTGTCTGCCAGAGATTGCCTACCCCCACGTGGGGTGGTTTTCCATTTTTGTTTTCATCAGAGAATGACGGGTTTTGAGTTTTCAATCTTATGGACCATTTGTTGACAAGAAGACATAAATCATGAATGAGAAAGGAGTGGAACTTTCTCTTTTCCTTTGGGTTCAGCTCAGGGGAACTTTTCCCCTCCCCCAGGGCTGCTTAGAGTAGACATGGAGTGGAGGGAATGCTCACCTGGGAACTGTTTCCCCCTCCCTGTGTGCAGTAACTTAGATGGCAGAGGTTCCTGAATGAGAAGCCTGGCCCCTCCTCACCTCCACACAGAGACCAACCCTGACCAGAGCAGGAGTCAAGCTATGAACCAAGGAAGTGCTCCCACTCAGGGAGATCAGGGACGGTCCTTGTTTCTGGCTTTTTTTTTGTCTCTGGGTGACTTGGCAGAACCAAAATGATTTGGGTCCTCAACAGAGGGGGACAGGTCTTAATCCAGGAGATTCTCATATCAGAGAAAGCCACTGGTATTACAGAGAACCACAACTGACAGAAACAGACTGACTGACAAACACACACACACACACACACACACACACACACACA